TGCACGTACACTACCTTGGGGCCTGAGCAAACAAGCCCACACAATACTGATCTGCTGAGTTAACCAGCTTGGCTGTCTACAAGGTCAGATGTCTTGCACCACCTTGCTTAGCAATATGCATGTATGTCTTTGTCTTTACCATTTTCCCTTCTTAAGGATTTAAAAAAAAAAACCCAAACAAAAACCACAACGCAAACAAACCAGCTCTGAGCTGGAACACGTAAAGATAAGTTAAAGTAAGGATTTCCCAGTTGAATTATCGACTGATACTGCAGAACAAGGAATAATGAGGCCCCCTGTGGATTACCAATCTACCTTAGAATAGTTTTTAATTGGCTGCCGAACACAAGCTCAACAGTGAGGTTTGCTGATTTCCAGCTTACGACATCGAGCTACACACATCAAAAGCACATACCTGTTCATATGGGCAGGACCATAACCACCAATGGCATATATCATTCCGTCCAAGACAGCTGCAGCAAAACAACTTCTTGTTTTGTTCATTGGGGCCACCAGCTGCCATTCCTTCACTTTGGGAATGTATTTCTCCACAGTTCGTAAATAAGACTGCCCGTCATAGCCACCTAAGGCGTAGAGCTCTCCTGCCAGAACTACCACTCCCAGAGTACTCCGGCTCTCAAACATCCTTTCAAGAGATGTCCAAGTGTTCGTGTCGGGGTCCCAGCACTCCACTGAATTCTCATGCTTTCGGTAACTGATGCCTTGACACACGTGGGTTGCAATCCCTCCTACAACGTATATTTTCTGGTCCAGGACACATATTCCAAATTCATAGCGGGGAATGCTAAGAGGTGCCAGGCCTATCCAGGAGTCATTCTGGGGAAAATACATTTCAACACTGAAATAGAGAAACAAAGATTATGTGAGCAAACCTAACTTTCTGAAGCTCTGTGAAGTGCAAATGAGCATCAAGGAACGCAAGTCTTAAGATTACTTCATATGTCCCATCCAATGTTCGCCGTTTCTTCCAAAAAGAAGAAATTTCTTCTTACGTTTTAGCCCAAACGTAAGCTAAAATCAAATGCTGTTTACTGTTCTAAAGAGTTAAACACCCAGGGCCTCACAGCGTACAGTGCAATGCAGCAACACAGCAAGCAGCCAGGACAGCATCGTGGATAACGCGAGGGAAGACAATACAGCGCTGATGCCACAGCAGCTTTTGGAGGTGGGCTGTGATCGGGGTAAGCTAAAAATACAAACCAAAGGGGTAAGAATGGTAAACTGAAAGAGAAGAGTCAGAACAGCCACAGAGATGGGAGAGAGAGAGATGAGGATAATTAGAGGGGGAAGCACATGTCTATATATATGTACAAACATACAATTAGAAAGTACAGTTTGTAGTTTTATAAATACGTATTTTACGTGCACTGTATAATTTAAACAAAATGACAAAGCAGAACAAACTAATTTGAAAAATCTGTTTTCAAAATACCGCTTATTTGCATTTTCTTTTAATTATACTCAGTGTTAAAATATGGTGGGTCTAGCCTATCGCGTATAAAGTCTAGTCAATCTACCTGAACAGTTTAGTTAATAAATTACTTAAATGATTTAAAAGAATATCTAGTACACAGGAAATACAATCTGTTCAAAAAACATACAAGAAAGTGCAGCCACTGGAGAGCTGATAGCCACTGACTAAGAACCCAGAAGCAGGGACTGCTGAAACACCAGACTGGCTCTTGACAGCAGCAGCCCAGTTAGAAAAGAGCAGTGCTAAATATATTCTAAGTAATTTTGTTATTATGAAGCAGCAGCTAACTGTAAGTGAAAGACCAGCCTTCCTGCAAGTACAAATGAAAAGTAGAACGAGAATAGTGGAATTAAGGTTTCCTACTTCAAAGTTTTAATTGTATTAGGAATTATTTTGTTTAATGGATCCGTGACCTTTTTTTTTTATGTCAAGAGCAATTGTTTAAACTTAAGTATTAACTGAAAAAAACGGTTTAGGAAAGACTAATATGAATAATAAATTAAGGAAGAGAAAATTTTTGTATGCATTAAAACATGGTTAATAGTAGTAAAGAGCATTTTTGTAAAAAAAAAAAAATCAAAACAATCCAAACTACATTGGTATGTAATATTGTTACAATCATTGAAGAAGCTGTGAAAGAAACAGAGCTGAAGAATATCGGAGGATGACTTTATTCACTCAAACAAACAGATTTTTTTATTAAGCACAAAACCCCCCTTTATTCCCAGTCCCAACATCTAGTTTACTATTGATCCCTATTACCGGAAAAGTCAACTTTAAATAACTTTGACAACATCTCTAAACACAGGGAAAAAGAACATACAGATCTTCCCAGGTTTTTAAGTGTATGTATATATATATATACGCAGGCACGGAACTGCCACAGAAAAGAATGTCTCAGAGTAAAATCCTGTCCCAGAATTCAGCTGTAGAACGAGTTCGGGTAGTCTGCCTTAACACAGCAAACATTTACTGAGCTGATAAGGGCACACTCAACATCAAAGCACTATACGTGTATGTGTAAGTACGCATATGTACGCGGCTACTATTTCTGGAAATGTTAATACAATGTTGTAAGTAATCCCAACGACACCAGCACGGGGAAGAAAGCTATTTTTCTCTCTATCACATTCCTTTTGCTCGCATGATTAGCCTCAGTGATGTACTCCAGTAACTGATGAGGAGGTTCATTTTGAAAACCGGGAAAGAAAGACGGTCACTTACCTGTCTCTGCCCCCTCAGATATGGATACCTACTCAGCAGCAGAGATTAAAGTCACGATTACATTATGATCAAGAACGTGACATTGCTAAGAATTACCTCTTCGCTCTTCTCTGATTAAGCCTATTTTAATTCCAAAGACTTTTGAGTTATCAGGAAGCATATTTGTCATACATTAGGTTAAATTTTACGATTTGATTGTCTGGAATAATAATAGATCAGGGAAAAATTACATAAAATGAAAAGACCTGAAAGGACAAAGTAGCAGCATACAAACTTTTATTAACCACTTTTATTAACCAAATTCTCAACCAACAGAATAGAAACGATAAGGTTGTATAGCTATTTGTGTTGGCACAAACAAAACCCCGTAACACTGAAGATTACTCATGAAATCAAAAAGCATTTTGAATTCAGTGCTCCTCCTTGTTAAAAAAAATCTACTTAAAGAGTTCTTATGAAGGACAGCAGTAACTGCAGTCCTGCAAACCACAGCTCTTCAATTATTGTCTTAATCCTCACCCAGGGCAATAACAAACACGCATGAACATCACACCACTCAAGTGCTGCAACAACTTCACTATTACTTACCTTTCCAAACACGCAAACAGTCCAGCTTTTCCTCCTACGGCACAAAGAACTTTAGGAGCACAGCGAGGTCGTGTCATCAACATGGTCTGGTGGGAAAGTCTGTGTTCAGGCATAAAGTGGTATTTTAGGGCCTCATTTAGCAGATGTTTGCAAGTATGGTCATCACGAATGAGATGGTTTGCTTCGTATAACCTCGTAAGAAACTTAACGCTCAGCAGCGGCAACCGAACGCAATGCAGCAGCTGCGCTAAGTACTTCTGTCGCTCCTGCACATCATATTTGATCCAGGACTCTAGTGCATAAAAAACGGTTTCTTCTGTCACAACATTCAAGCAGTCATTGGAAACAATTTCATCCAATTCAGAATGCGTAAGCTCAAAAAATTCTTCCGTCTGACAAACATCTTCAAAGTTCTGACAAATGTACTTGTTAGCAGCCAAGTAGAGGTCATGGCAGCCATAGGTCTCTGCAAAACGAGAAATCCCGATGCAATTGCCAGGATCAAGCTGGCTTTCAAGAAACGCACAACACTCCTTCACCACCAGTTTGACCTGGAGAAGATTCGCAGCTGGAAGAAGCGACTCTACAGTGTCTTGTGAGATGAACACAGTTCCTGTGTAGGCATACTCCACGATGGTCTGCAGGGCTGCCTCGTCAATGCACTGGAACTCCACCTCTGAGTTTTCCTTCTCAGAAAGGTTCCCGGTGAACATGGCTTTGAAGTACGGGCTGATGCTGGCAAGCACCACTTTGTGGGCATGGATCTTGACATCCCCAACTCTAAGGATAATATCACAGAGCTCGTGATGTTGGCGAAGGAGGTTCAAGCCTTGCAGGAGCTGTTCAGAATGCAAGTGGGTTAAGTTGGCAAGCATGTAGGTTGGAGACGACTGGTCCATCTGTGACAAACAGAATTTTTAACGCATTACTCAGGGCTTCATTTCAACAGCTTCATTACTCATGTTACTCAAACATGCAATACATAACATTTAAAAAATATTTTTCCATTTTTGCTTTTATCTTAATTAGGTTTATTACTTTCCAATTTACTCTCTCAATCCTTATGCGCTATGTTTTTTCATGCGAGTTAAATCCAGGACAATCAAATGTTTATTAATAGTGTATGCTATATTGATCTTTGACTTAAAAAAAAACCACCAAACAAACCACAAAACAAAAAACAACCACCCACCCTTTTTATTTTTGTTCTGGAGTAAAATGCATATTATCTCAAGCACTGAATACATGATAGGATTCTACGTCAGATATCTGAGAGAACGGAACAGTGACCGAAACAAAAATAAATAGAGATAAATAAAGAACCGGCTTATTTGAGACAAAGTTTTAGAAGTTCTTAAACTACTTTCTGCTACTCGCCTTGCGGCCTGCTCAGCGCTAGTGTGGTGCAGCCAAGGCCCGCTGTGCCTCCCCTCCGACCCGTGCTGCCGGCAGGGCCCCACCAGCCAGCAGGGACCAGCTCTCCGTTCCCCCTCCCTCGCCCGGAACAGAAGGGTCCCTCCCTCTGCACAAAGAGGCAAAAAGGACCCACAGAGCCAGCGGGGCCCTGGGTTGCAGGAAAAGGGGTGCCGGAGCAGAGGTTACTGTACTCTGAACGGGCAGAGGAGCACAGGAGAAGGGGGAGATCCTCGCCTCACTGAGCGGCTTCCACCGTGAGAGCAAATCCCCAGCGGACATGCCTTCGCCCCCCGGAGGGATCAGACCCGGCGGAGATCGGGAGCTGGGCCTGCCTCCACCATCAAGAGGCGAGGGGCAAGAGCTGGCAAAGCGCTTCCCAGGGTGAGCGAGAGAGCGGGTCGCAGGTGGACAGGCTGAGCATCCTGGTGTCTATCACCATTTCCACACCCTCACGGCACCAGCAGCTACCCACGCTCCCTAACATCACTAGTAAGGGCAGAGAGAAGGATCCTTGTTCCTACCTACGGCTCCACAAAACCTCCAAACACTTCTTCTGAACAGTTTTAGTGCCTTCAAGTGTCACGATGCAAACTATGATACCTGCTCTAATTTCAGTATCATTAAAATGTAAATGGTGCTGCCCACCACTACCTGGTGGAGAAGCAGTTCTGCAGTTCTTTATTCAGACTGAATTATTATACCGGTGAGAGGGTGGAGGGTAGGAATGTGTCAGGATCCTGGACCACGAGGAAACATAACCGTTGTTCTACAGAGAACACTGCAACCGCCCAACTTCTGAACTGACAAGCTGATCTAATTCTGATCTGCTAAATGACTACACAAACTTCAAGATTTCACTTCTTTTATCTTACTATTAAGAAGTTCATCATTTTTACAGCTCCTTAACTGACATCTAATTTGCAGTGAGCCTACTTGCAAAGTGCTTAATCTGAAAGAATAAAATTAGTTGCCAACGTTTAAATACAGAACTTAATAGCACTGACAGAGAAGCGAAGGCTTACAGCTAGGGACAGAAAACCTCTGACCCATTAAAAGGTAAGTAAGCTCATCCCTCTCCGACACTGGAAAAAAACCTGTATCTAAAAGAAAGTATTTTAAGCACATCTGCAAAAGGCAAGATTCCAATCAACAACGTTTTCCATACTATGGCATTTTTGCACCGCAAGTTACATGGGGGGGGAAGAGGGGGGAGAGCTGTTCAGCAGCTAAGCCACTTCCTTTTCCTTTTGTGTTTGTGCTCCGTTCATAACTTGATTGTACATATACGCAGAAATCATAAAACACAAGGTAACACCACATGGAAGGAACAAGGAACGGTTACAGATCAGATGCAAAACCTGTAAAAACAGTTATAAATAACTACATTTAAGTTATTCCACAGAACTAAAACTTTTTGTACTAACTTGGTAGAGATGCCTACTGGTGTATCTCACATACCTCCTGCACGGCAATGCTCGCCCACACCACATATTTGCATGTATTTATTTTATCCTTGAGCAAGAAATCAGAAGCTGGAACACTAACCAACCCTGAAAAACGTACGCTAGTGCTACGATTTCTGCTCACAACACGAATAAAACGGTTGCCCCCCAGCTCCGGACCGTCAGATCCTTTTCACAGTCTGCAGCAG